TTGAAGGCCTTTGGATTAAATGTTGTTTGTTTTCGCAATGTAAATGTTTAGAGTAGCAAGAGATAATGCCGAATGTTTGCATAAACACTGGCCGCTGCGGTTTATAATTTTGTAGCAGCGTTGGTCGGCTTCCATAGGACACAAAACACCTGCGGATGAAGGACAAACCAAAGACCTCTCTCACAAATCAAGGAGCTCTGACGTGCTCCAAATCCAGGCCAAATGAAGCACTTTTATGCACATTGCTAAATGGTCAATGGGATGCTGAAGCACATGAAAAACCTTGAATTTGATACTTTTCTTTGACGGATTCTCCCTTAGAAATGTCATCACAGCCTTCATTGAAATGAACCCACTAAAACTGACTTTGATATTACATTTTGTACTCATCATAGAATCCTAGAGGTGGAAGAGACCTCAGTCCAACCCCATTCTGCCAAGAACCAGGAAAATTGCATTCAAAGCATCCCCGACAGATGGCCATCCAGCCTCTATTTAAAAGTCTCTGCTTCCCTGGAGACTAGGACACAGAACAATGGCTTCAAACTACAAGAAAGGAGATTCCATCTGAACATTAGAAAGAACTTCCTGACTGTGAGAGACGTTCAGCAGTGGAACTCTCTGCCCTGGAGTGTGGTGGAGGCTCCTTCTTTGGGTGGCCATCTGTCGGGGGTGCTTTGAATGCAATTTTCCTGCTTCTTGGCAGGGGCTTGGACTGGAAGGCCTATGAGGTCTCTTCCAACTCTATGATTCTAACAAGGAGTCTCCACCACACTCTGGAGCAGAGAGTTCCATTGCTGAACAGCTCTCCTTACAGTTAGTAAGTTCTGACAGATGGCCATCCAGCCACTGTTTAAAAGCTTCCAAAGAAGGAGCCTCCACCACACTTCGGGGCAGAGAGTTCCACTGCTGAACAGCTCTCACAATCAGGAAGTTCTTCCTCATGTTCAGGTGGAATCTCTTTTCCTGTAGTTTGAAGCCACTGCTCCACATCCTAGTCTCCAGGGCAGCAGAAAACAAGCCTGCTCCCTCCTTCCTATGACTTCCCCTCACATCTTGATCCATGGCCCTCATCATGTCTCCCCTCAGCCTTCTCTTCTTCAGGCTAAACATGCCCAGCTCTTTAAGCCGCTCCTCATAGAGCTTGTTCTCCAGACCCTTGATCATTTTAGTCGCCCTTCTCTAGACACATTCCAATAAGTTTCAAGTATGGGAAAAAAAAAAAAAAACCCCTAAAAGAAAAAAAAAAACAAAAAAAAAAAAAAAACCAACAAAAAAAAAAACAACAAAAAATAAAAAAAAAAAAAAAAAAAAAAAGAAGAGAAAAGAAAAAGAAAAAGAAAAGAAAGAAAAAAAAAAAAAAAGAGAAAAATGGGAAACAAATGAGTGTATATATAAATTATTGGTGAAATTAAAAGGTGACATGTGTATAAAGGGGGGAGAGGGAAGGAATTAATGGAAATAGGAACGGGATAATGTGAGGAGGAAATATTGGATTTTTTTTTGTAGCAAATAACAGTTAATTGTGTGATTGCGACATCGACGATCCATACTTTGTTTTTAACACAATTGTGAGGTCAGGAGTATTATGCTCCAAAACTCTGTCTGTCTGAATCCGGAAGTCTCAGAGGAGCTTGACGTGTTCATTCTCTGTAACTTTTTCTGGCTTGTGATCCCACCAGTTCTTTGTCGCAGGCAGATGGTGTTTGTGGCACAAGTTCCAATGGATCATCTGAGCAATGGTGTTATGCCTCTGCTTGTAATCTGTCTGCGTGATCTTCTTGCAGCAGCTGAGGATGGGATCTATTGTTCCATCTGCTTCCTTGCAGAGTCTACACTTGGAATGTATCGTCGACTTTTCAATTCTGGCTTTGATGGCATTGGTTCGAATGGACACTGTATTCCAGGTGTAGCTTGTTCTTGGGCTGCCAGAATCAGGCCCTCCTTCGTCTCCTTTTTCAAAGTTTGTGAGCCACAGCCATTTTTTTCCTTGTCAATGGTATTCTGTCAGGTTTTACAATGTATTGTAATGTAATATAGCTGAGTCATGCACTGCTAATGGGCTTCTATTGGAAATGCTGAGTCATGCATTAACTGTATATAGGGAATCATTTGAGGAATGTGTTCTGGCCTAGTCCAGGTGATTGTGAATGATGTAATCCTGGGTCTGAGTTAAGTTAATGAGTTGGGAACCAACCAGAGATTGCTATGTGTAAATGAATTGTATATAAGGAAGTCATGTACAGTGTATTCTCTCTCCTTGTGCTGTGATGTTGTTCGTCGAAGGCTATATGTAATTAAAAGAACCTGTCTGCTAAGACAAGATATAACTGTATGCTGTGGTAAGTTTGTAATATCATCTAGACTGGGGGAAAGACAATGGTAAAACTGACAATGGCCGGGCATGTGCTCAAGTGTCTGTAAAAGGTTCCAGAGTGACTGCAGGCTGTGGGAGCAGTTGACTGAAAATACTGTGCAGGAAGACGCTACTGGAAAGCGCTGAAGTTGTGCAACTGATCTGCTGCTGAATTGTGAAGTTAATCTCAACATATTCCCTCTTTGTCACAAGTTCCAATGAATCATCTGAGCAACGGTGTTGTGCCTCTGCTTGTATGTCTGTGTGATCTTGCAGCAGCTGAGGATGTGATCTATTGTTTCATCTGCTTCCTTGAAGAGTCTACACTTGGGATCTGTTTTCGACTTTTCAATTCTGGCTTTGATGGCATTGGTTCTAATGTCTTGTTCTTGGGCTGCCAGAATCAGGCCCTCCGTCTCCATCATCATCATCATTATTATTATCATTATTATTATTATTATTATTATTATTATTATTTCTTGTGTGTCTTCAAGTTGTTTCTGACTTATAGTGACCCTACGGTGAAACTATCACAGGGCTTTTCTCTTTTCTCATTACACTAATACAAGTAAACGGTTAAATTAAAAGACTCTATGATGATACCAACTTGATAAGCCTCAAATGCTGAATTCCCCTGAAAACTGGTGTTGATCAAGACAAAAATCTCAATAACTCAAAGGAACAGCCTCCTTCGGTCGAACTTACTATCATTTCTTACCAGACCGCTATTATTCCTATTGAGTTTAACACTCACAAAAAAAAGTGTCAAAGATCAAGTGTATGTTATTTGAAGTGTCAAGCGCAAAAGGGGAAAGGTGAAATTTCATTAGGTCAGAGGTGGTATAAATAAAGTCCTATATGTCAAAGAAGAAGGATCATTTAACATGGAGGCATCAGAGGTGGCAAGCAATAACTTTAAGTAGGACAAGCGCGTTCACCTAAGGGTACCTTCATTGATTAAAAATAAAATGGAATCCATGCTTAAAAAATCAACTATGGTTATTGTCTTATAGAGGCATTATTTATTTCTGTGTTTTGAAATTTTGCCCACATAGAACATGCATTTTACTTCTAGATCAGTGTTTCTCAACCTTCCTAATGCCGCGACCCCTTAATACAGTTCCTCATGTTGTGGTGACCCCCAACCATAAAATTATTTTCGTTGCTACTTCATAACTGTAATTGTGCTACTGTTATGACTCATATTGTAAATATCTGATATGCAAGATATATTTTCATTCACTGGACCAAATTTGGTATATATACTCAATATGCCCAGATTTGAATACTGGTGGGGTTGGGGGATTGATTTTGTCATTTGGGAGTTGTAGTTGCTGGGATTTATAGTTCACTTACAATGAAAGAGCATTCTGAACTCCACCAATGATGGATTTGAACCAAACTTGGCACATAGAACTCCCATGACCAACAGAAAATACTGGAAGGGTTTGGTGGGCATTGACCTTGAGTTTTGGAGTTGTAGTTCACCTACATCCAGAGAGCACTGTAGACTCAAACAATGATGGATCTGGACCAAACTTGGCACAAATACTCAATATGCCTAATGTGAACACTGGTAGAGTTTGGGGTAAATAGACCATGACATTTGGGAGTGGTGATTGTTGGGATTTATAGCTCGCCTACAATCAAAGAGCATTCTGAACTCACCAGTGATGGAACTGAACAAACTTGACACACAGAACTCCCATGACCAACAGAAAATACTGGAAAGATTTGGTGTGCATTGACCTTGAGTTTGGGAGTTGTAGTTCACCTATATCCAGAGAGCACTGTGGACTCAAAGAATGATAGATCTGGACCCAACTCAGCACAAATACTCAATATGTCCAAATGTGAACACTGGTGGAGTTTGGGGAAAATAGACCATGACATTTGGGAGTTGTGATTGTTGGGATTTATAGCTCACCTCCAATCAAAGAGCATTCTGAACTCACCAGTGATGGAATCGAACCAAACTTGGAACACAGAGCTCCCACGACCAACAGAAAATACTGGAAGGGTTTGGTGGGCATTGACCTTGAGTTTGGGAGTTGTAGTTCACTTCCATCCAGAGAGAACTGTGGACTCAAACAATGATGGATCGGGACCAAACTTGGTACGAATACTCAATATGCCCAAATGTGAGCACTGGTAGAGTTTGGGGAAAAAAGACCTTGACATTTGGGAGTTGTGATTGCTGGGATTTATAGTTCACCTACAGTCAAAGAGCATTCTGAACCCCACCAATGATAGAATTGGGCTAAACTTCCCACAAAGAATTCCCATGACCAACAGAAAATACTGTGTTTTCTGATGGTCTTTGCCACCCCTCTGATACCCCTTGCAACCTCCACCCAGGTTTAGAAACACTGTCTTAGCCATATCAGTTCAACTCTACACATTGACCAAAAACAGAGGATGAACTAAGATAGTATAGCGCTCTGTGGCTATCGGAATATGAACAAAATCCCATGAAATGAAAACTAGGCCACTTCAGTAAGAAGATCCCAATCTCCGGAAGTCCTTTCCAAAACTGGCCTTTTTTTCTCCTCCAGCAAAATAATTTCTCATTGACTCAGAGGGATTTGTTTGGATCCCTCCCACGATACTCTCCAGACGACAGGATACAAAAACCAGGACCTACCACTTCTTCGTCAGAAAGCTCCCGTCCTTGGATGCTGCTGTTTTCTCTCACGGCTTGTTGGTGCTTTTTCCCTTTAATGTGGCTAAAGAGATAGACTTCCGAGGAAATCTGAAAGGAGGGAAACATTTTTTTTCCTTTGAGCAAACATGCATGGGTAAACTTCACCCCTCCAGGTATTTTGGATTTTAAATCCCACTATTCCTAACAGCTGGTCACAAAGCAAGTTAATTGACAGGTTAACTGTATTTCATCGCATAATAGTTGCACCCCCATTTTTTGGCTGGGAAGATTGGTTTTTTTCTGTTCTTTGCATAAGAGTCACAGAGCTATTTGGGACTGAGTCCTTGATCCCTTCCTATTTAAAAGTTAGATTTGAAGGTCAAACTTGCCTATGCCTTTCCTTCGCACAAGTTAACTGGCAGGTTAACTATTTTTCATCGCATAATAGTCGCACCCCATTTTTTTGGGTGGCAAGATTGGTATTTTTGTGTTCTTTGAGTAAGAGTCGCAGAACTGTTTGGGACTGATTCCTTGATCCCTTCCTACTTAAATGTTAGATTTGAAGGTCTAACGCACCTCTCCCTCCATTTTTTCTCATCCCACGTGTATCTTTACCATCTCCCTCGCACTGCACACACCTTTCTCTCCTCCTCCCTTGTCCAGTTGGGTTGATCTGCTGAGAGTGGAGGAGAAGTCTTCCTCTCCCCAGTTCTTCCCACCTCTGTTTTTTCCCCACTTTACAGCACCCCTTTCCCACCCTAGTCTTCCCTTTTTTCTAGTTCCCCCCTTCCTACCCCAGTCTTTACTATCCCCAGCCCCTCCCACTTTTCCAGCCCCCTTTACAGACTAGCCTTTCCCAGGTTTCAGCCCCTCTTTCCTCTTTCAGGCTTGCCTCTTTTCCCACCACAGTTTCCCACTTTCCCAGCCCCTCTTTCTCATCCAGTCTTTCCCTCTTTCCCAGCCCCCTTTCCCACCTCAACCTTTCCCACTTCTCCACTTGCCCCCTTCCCACTCCAATCTTTTCACCTTTCCAGCCCACCTTTTGCACCTCAGTTTTGCTCATTTTACAACCTTCCTTTCCCCCATTCCAATCTTTTCCAGGTTTCCCTCTTTCCCACCCCATTTTCCCCTGCTTCTCCCAATCATAATAGAGTAAAATAATAACTGGAATAATAATAATAATTAGAGTAAAATAATAAATGCAATAATAATAATAATAATAATAGAGTAAAATAATAAATCATGTTTTAATCTGAGTTGGACATTCTCATCTTAAACAACAGTTTTATGTAAATATTCAAAAACATTTAACCTGCTGATGCCTCAATTAATGTAACTATATTGGTATCTATTTTTATTTTTGAAATTTACCCGTAGCTGCTGCCTTTCCCACTCTCGGATTAGACTCCAATCAATATGTTTTCTCTGTTTTTTTGTGGTAAACTTAGGTGCCTCGGCTTATATTCGTGTCGTCTTATACTCAAGTATATACAGTACCTTTCCCACCCTAACCTAAAACTACTCTCTTATATTTGAGATGCTGCATTGCATCCACACCTGGCTATCACTGTAAGTGTTTTGCATTCAAGCTCCCTAACAAAATGCCTCCATTAATGAAAACTCTCCAACGGGAATTTCAAGCTTACCACGACATTGCACAATGAGCACTGCTTTTTCCGCTCGTAGGGTGTGAGTTTTGGGGCATAGTCAGTGTTGGCGTGTCTTCCGCTGCTTAATTCCGCCGCTTTCTCTTTCCTCTGCTCTATCTGCTCCATATGCCTCCGAATGCTCTCGTCATGCTGAGTACATAGTGGGAAACAAAAGCTCAAAAAGTTACTTGTTGGTACACTGAATACATTCAAATTAGTGAAAAACAGGACTGCAGTATCAGAAATTAGTCTTGCCTGGATTTTCTGTGCTGCCAGGGCAAGAAGAGACACCTTGGGAGTAACCATAGGCTTCGTGTCAGCCAAGAGATAGAAGATCTTTCCTGACACAGTGTTGGCTTGAATCATAGAATCAAAGAGTTGGAAGAGACGCTCATGGGCCATCCTGTCCAACCCCCTGCCATGTTTTCAGGCTACTCCTAAAGATTGCCAGAGTTGGGGCTTGCCTAATGTCCTTGGGGAGTGAGTTCCAGAGTCGAGGGGCCACCACCGAGAAGGCTCTCTCCCTCGTCCCCACCAATCGCGCTTGCGATGGTGGTGGGAGCGTGAGCAGGGCCTCTCCAGATGATTGAAGAGATCGTGTGGGTTCGTACACAGAGATGCAGTCACGCAGGTAAGCGGGTCCCAAACCGTTTAGGGCTTTGTAGGTAAGAACCTGCACCTTGAACTGGGACCGGTAAATGAACGGCAGCCAATGCAGCTCCTTAAACAGAGGGGTTGACCGCTACCTGTAAGGAGTTCCAGTTAACAAGCTGGCCGCCGCTCGTTGAACCAGTTGATATTTCCGGGCCGTTTTCAAGGGTAGCCCCACATAGAGTGCATTACAGTAGTCCAATCTGGAGGTGACTAAGGCATGGACCACCCTGGCCAGATCCGCCTTCATGAGGTACGGTCGCAGTTGGCGCACGAGTCTTAATTGTGCAAAGGCCCTCCCGGCCACCGCCGATGCCTGAGCTTCAAGCGTAAGTGATGAGTCCAGGAGGACACCCAAACTGCGGACCTGTGACTTCAGGGGGAGTGTAACCCCGTCCAACACGGGTTGCCACCTTATACCCCGATCTGGTTTACGATCTACCAAGAGGACCTCTGTCTTGTCAGGATTAATCTTCAGCCTGTTCCTCATCCAGACAGCCACAGCAGCCAGGCACTCGTCCAGTACCCGAGGGGCTTCCTTGGAATTAGGTGGAAAAGAGTTGCGTGTCATCTGCGTAAAGATGGCAGCCAACTCCAAAAATCCGGATGACCTCTCCCAGTGGTTTCATGTAGATGTTGAAAAGCATGGGAGATAGAATGGAACCTTGCGGGACCCCACAGGTCAAAGGCCAGGAGTTCGAGCAGGTGTCTCCCAGCTTCACCATCTGGGAGCGGCCCTCCAGGAAGGATCGGAGCCACAACAAAACCGTGCCTCCAAGACCCATCCCAGAGAGTCGTCCCAGAAGGATACCATGATCGATGGTATCGAAAGCCGCTGAGATGTCCAAGAGAACCAACAGGGTCACACTCCCCCTGTCCAGCTCTCTACGGAGGTCATCCACCAAGGCGACCAAAGCCGTCTCGGTGCCGTGGATAAGTTGTAATAAGTTGTAATTGTAATAAGTTGTTATGTGTTTAATTTGCCTGTTTTATTAAAGAGATCACCATAAAAGATTTCCCAATGAGATGCAGGGATTGGAGAGTCTATTGAGAATCTGACTTGTCTCACCTTTTTGTCTTGTTGTTTACTCATATTCTATTTTGAAATGGTCATGTCACTGGTCAAATAAATAAATTATTATTGCCCAAGAATGTCTTTAAGCACAAATATACTATCCAGGGTCTACCTTCAACTGGATCTTCTTCTGCAGTTCTTCCATAGCTTCCTGTTGAGCTGCCGTCAAAGCTGCCAGCCTCTCTTCGCGGTCTCTATCCAAATAAGATTAAATGTCGTTTCAACATGGGTGAACGGACAGAGAGTTTATTTATTTATTTATTTATTTATGGGCTTGTATACCGCTAATATCTCAGCCTAAGTCGGCGACTCATTGCGGTTTACAACAATTAAAAAAACAATACCATTTTTAAAAACATGAAACACATTTACAATACAAATTATTGGGCCACCAATAATAATCCCATGCATCTCGTAACTAAAATCCCAATCCAAAATTCGTCGTCCGTGATTGTCAGTCCTTTTGTCATCAACATTCGGTTGCAACGGATTAACCGAATGCTTGTTTAAACAACCATGTTTTCAATCTCTTCCGAAACACCATCAGCGAGGAGGCTGATCGTACCTCTATAGGGAGGGTGTTCCAAAGCCGAGGGGCCACCACAGAAAAGGCCCTGTCTCTCGTTCCCGCCAGCCGCACTTGTGAAGCCGGCGGGATAGAGAGCAGGGACTCTCCAGAAGATCTTAGGGTCCTGGTGGTCTGATAGGCTGAGATACGTTCGGATAGATAAGTTGGGCCAGAACCGTTTAGGGCTTTAAAGGCCAACGCCAGCACTTTGAATTGAGCCCGGTAGCATATCGGCAGCCAGTGGAGCTGGTGCAGCAGAGGAGTTGTGTGCTCCCTGCGCCCCGCTCCTGTTAGTATCATGGCTGCCGCCCGTTGGACTAGTTGGAGCTTCCGGGCTGTCTTCAAAGGCAACCCCACGTAGAGAGCGTTGCAGTAGTCAAGGCGGGATGTAACCAGAGCGTGGACTACCGTGGCTAAGTCAGACTTCCCAAGGTACGGTCGCAGTTGGCACACAAGCTTTAATTGTGCGAAAGCTCCCCTGGTCACCGCCATAGAGTTTCATCTATGCTGATGATTGTGCCATTACCGCTCAAGCAGGGAGCTTTGAGATGGTTGAACAGAAGCTCTCTGAAGCTCTAGGTGCTCTAACTGCCTATTACAGGGAAAACCAACTGATCCCTAATCCATCTAAAACACAGACATGTGCCTTTCACCTTAAGAACAGACAAGCATCCCAAGCTCTGAGGATGACCTGGGAAGGAATCCCACTGGAGCATTGCAGCGCACCCAAATACCTGGGAGTCACTCTGGACCGTGCTCTGACCTACAAGAAGCACTGCCTGAACATCAAGCAAAAAGTGGGTGCTAGAAACAATATCATAGGAAAGCTGACTGGCACAACCTGGGGATCACAACCAGACACAGTGAAGACATCTGCCCTTGCGCTATGCTACTCTGCTGCTGAGTATGCATGCCCAGTGTGGAACACATCTCACCACACTAAAACAGTGGATGTGGCTCCTAATGAGACATGCCGCATTATCACGGGGTGTCTGCGCCCTACACCACTGGAGAAATTACACTGCTTAGCCGGTATTGCACCACCTGACATCCGCCGGGAAGTAGCAGCCAATAGTGAAAGGACCAAGGCAGTGACATCTCCAGCTCATCCCTTGTTTGGGTATCAGCCAGCATGTCAACGACTTAAATCAAGAAATAGTTTTCTTAGATCTACAGAGACACTCGCTGGAACACCTCAGCAAGCGAGAGTCTAAAAGTGGCAGGCTCAAACCCAGCACCAGATACCAGATGAGAGACTCCCTCCTGGGCACACAGAAGACTGGGCGACTTGGAAGGCGCTGAACAGACTGCGCTCTGGCACCACGAGATGCAGAGCCAATCTTAAGAAATGGGGCTACAAAGTGGAATCCACGACATGGGAGTGTGGAGAAGAGCAAACCACTGACCACCTGCTGCAATGCAACCTGAGCCCTGCCACATGCACAATGGAGGACCTTCTTGCGGCAACACCAGAGGCACTCCAAATGGCCAGATACTGGTCAAAGGACATCTAATCAACTACCAAGTTTGCAAAATTTGTGTTTTTTTCTGTTTGTTTGTTTTGTTCTGTTAGAAATGTAATACAATGGTCTGGTTGCAGATGACACGATAAATAAATAAATAAGCATGGGTGTTATATCAGAGTAATCCTGCGTATCTCTTATAGAAGGTTTGAATTGATGACTATCAGGAGAAATACCTCCACCCTGTACAAAACTCACACCTTATGAGGTAGAAGAGAGGAAATATGGCTACCTGGCCCTTTCCCGAGCGGCGTCTTCCCTCGCTCTTTCCTTCTCCTGCCGCTGCTGTTCAATCCGGGCCTCTTGCTCTTTCCTCTTCATCAGCAACTCTTCGACCCGGGCCTGGCGCTCGGCTTCCAGAGCTCTTTTGCGTTCCTGCAGAGCACACACATAGGCAAAGCTCAACAAGGTCGATCAGAATAATCTTTCGCACTTTCCAGCATGATCTGTCGCATTGCAAAGGTGAGACGTACCTGAACGGCTTCGTCGCGGGCTTGCTTCTCCTCCTGCCTCCGCTGGCGCTCCTCCTGCAATTCATTCAGCCTTTGCTCATATTCTTTCAGTTTGGACAAAACATCGTGGCGCTTGTTCTGGGCTTCCAAAGTATTGATAAAGGCGATTTCGTTTACCTGCAATGAGACCAAAGTTTGAACAGAAACCATGAGATATCTTTAAATATTAGGTTGATGCAATCTACATCTAGATCAGGCATGGGCAAACTTCGGCCCTCCAGAATTCCTAACAGCCAGTAGGTGCTGAAAGTGTTATTTCCTGTTTAATTGTGCGATACTGACTCTGAAAGTTGTTATTCTAATCCATAAACTTCATTTTTGTGGCTGCCACAAATTATGCTGAATTGGTTGAGACTTGATGAGATAATCATTGAAAAACTATAGCTAATTGTGATGTAGGATGTCCTTCCTGCAAAAACCAAATTTTGGCAGTTTAATAAGCTTTGTCTATGTTTTTTATGATACAACCAATTAGGAAATTATATTTATAAACCAGGAACAAAAAAATTGTGTTCCATAGTATTGCTGTTGTCCTCCCTGGCCATTTTCTAGGCCCTCCAGTGTAAACACACGGTCTCTTTGTGCCAGAAATCCTTGTCAGAAATATTAAAAATTAACTAGGTATTTTTAATTACAAAAATGTGAGTTGAGCATCGAAAGGGTTAAATGGATGCAATTACTCAGCAAAAGCTGCAGTTCAATATAAGCAGGTGTGCCTGTAGCTTAGTAGGCCTCGTGCTGTGAGAGGTCTCTCTGGGAGAAAGGCCTCAGTGTGAGATAGGCCTCAGTGTTAGTAGGCCTCAAAGCTGCAGTTCAATATAAGCAGATGTGCCTGTAGCTTAGTAGGCCTCAGGCTGTGAGAGGTCTCTCTGGGAGAAAGACCTCAGTGTGAGATAGGCCTCAGTGTTAGTAGACCTCAATGACTCAGCCATAGCTGCAGTTCAATATAAGCAGGTGTGCCTGTAGCTTGTAGGCCTCAGGCTGTGAGAGGCCTCTCTGGGAGAAAGGCCTCAGTGTGAGATAGGCCTCAATGACTCAGCAAAAGCTGCAGTTCAATATAAGCAGGTGTGCCTGTAGCTTAGTAGGCCTCAGGCTGTGAGAGGTCTCTCTGGGAGAAAGGCCTCAGTGTGAGATAGGCCTCAGTGTTAGTAGGCCTCAAAGCTGCAGTTCAATATAAGCAGATGTGCCTGTAGCTTAGTAGGCCTCAGGCTGTGAGAGGTCTCTCTGGGAGAAAGGCCTCAGTGTGAGATAGGCCTCAGTGTTAGTAGACCTCAATGACTCAGCCATAGCTGCAGTTCAATATAAGCAGGTGTGCCTGTAGCTTGTAGGCCTCAGGCTGTGAGAGGCCTCTCTGGGAGAAAGGCCTCAGTGTGAGATAGGCCTCAATGACTCAGCAAAAGCTGCAGTTCAATATAAGCAGGTGTGCCTGTAGCTTAGTAGGCCTCAGGCTGTGAGAGGTCTCTCTGGGGGAAAGGCCTCAG